AATTCAAGATCTTCTTCAAACAGTTTTATCTGATAATGTGAGGTTCCTTTCACCAGGCAGTTTTGCAATAATGATTAGATAGTGGCCAAGGCCCTCCCATTGTGGTCCTGGTCCACAGACAGACACACAAAGGCTCTCACACCAGCTTTCTTCATCGATAATGGTACAATGATAGCAGGTAAAAAGGGGGTCTATAGGAGACTAGGACATTGTGTGCGGAGAATGCATATCCATATCTTGACATTTCACTCAGGGTGGGGCCGCTATGTCATTTTCCAATATCATATAATATACTAAATCAATTTCTTTAGAAAATACCGGTTAAATGGGTTTGCTGTATCAAAATCAAATAATTTAGGTTTGACATTAATTTTACTTATTTATTATTTTTGAATTCTTGTTGCACCCCAGGTTGTATAGAAAATTGCCAATCTTAAAGTAGGATTTCTTTACATACCAGTGCATTTAGGGATTGTTTGGTAAGGGGATACGGGGGTTTGGTAAGATAGGTTTGGAAAAAATAGTTCAAATGATCTCCAAATTTCATATTTAGATTGAACTTTTAATTCTAGATTCCTAAACTCAATTCGTAATTGACCCGAATATTAAACTCATGATCATGAATTTTAGGGGTGTTCAAATTTTTGATTGATCGCAATTTCCTATCCTACCCTACCCGATTCTACCTTACTCTGCTGAATGGCTAGCAACAAAAATCAAGTAGGAATGCAGAAGAGTTTTGGTCTTCCGATTAAATCGAGTAGGAATGTGGAATACCCATCAAATTTCGCTTTTCTATCCTATCCAACTCGTAAAAAATATATTTAATTTTTTTTAGTAATTATAAGAGTATTTGTGTGGTATAATTTATATTATAACATTGTTATTGTTGTAGATCTTTGAGTTGCTAAAACATGGACTTGTTTTTTGTGTAGCTTACATAATTTGTGGTAAACTAGTAACCTATTGTAGCAACTATGATTTTAATGTATTTCATATAGTTTAAACTTAAAATAATTGTTATTATATTTGTGTAACAATCATGATGGATTGATGTTCATGTTTTCTTGTAATTGTTATTGTAATTATTTTAATTTTTTGTGTTCTTGATTTATTGTGTTGTTAAATTGATGTTTGTTATTTAATTGAATTATTAAAATGATCCAAAAATTAATAGCTTCAAAAGTGTTTACTCGATTTTCTATCCGATTAACCAGATAAGAAGTCGGGTAGGAATACCACACCTGATCGGGTAAGGTAGGGTAAGAAAAAATTCTTCAACAAAGTATCGGGTAAGAAGACGAAAGACTATTTTCCCTACCCGTAGGGTAAGGTGAACACCCCTAATGAATTTCATCAAACCTAGGGGAGGTGGGTTTGGGATGATGGGTTAAGGGATTAAAGATGCAAAAAATAATTGTACCCCTTAACATGAGTAGGTATTAGATTGATTAAGAGTAAAATGATCATTTATAAGACAAATAATTATTAATAATAATGATATATCTGTGAGTCCTATATGTGTATCTATTGCATATCAAACATGGGTATGAACCAAATTTAATATTGAATTTCATCTTTATAAAAAAGAGTTTGAATTTAAAAGGGTTTAAGAAAATCAATCCAAATCCTCCCCAAAATCCATTCAAACAACTCCTTAGGGTTTACCAGCCACCAATTGCGCTCTCAAATCAGAAAATGATGATAATTTTTAAGCAAAAAATAACTGCAATAGAGATGGCTATAATAGGAGTTGTACCTCTCAAGAACTGTTGCCTAATTTGACCACCCACTTTATGTGCTTTCGCACCAAAGTAGTTTAGGCATTAAGATAAACGACTTATAAATTTAAGAGTTTTGAATTCGAATCTTAACAATTTTATAGGGACAGTGAATGAAAGATTTATTCCTCATGAGTAGGGGTGTTCAAATTTTTGACCGGCCACAAGTTCTTTCACTACTGAACGGCTAGCTGCAAAAATCGGGTAGTAATGCAGAAGAGTTTTTAGTCTTTCGACAATTTTCGGGTAGAAATGCAGAATACCATCCATTTTCGCATTTCTACCCTACCTTACCCGTAATAATTTTTTAATATATATATATACTAAAAAAAAACCCTAAATCCTAGCGGAACAATTATGATTTTAATGTATTTCATATGGTTTAAAGTTTAAACTTAAATTAATTGTTCGTGTATTTGTGTAACAATTATGGTGAATTGATGTTCATATTTTTTTGTGTTTTATTATAATTTTTGTTGTAGTTGTTTTAGATTTTAGTGTTAATTGATTTATTGTGTTGTTAAATTTGTGCATGTTATTTAATTAAATTGTTAAAATGATCCAAAAATTAATTGTTATAAAAATGTTTACCCAATTCTACTCGATTAATCGGGTAGAAAGTTAAGTAGGAATACCACACCTGTCAGGTAGAGTAGGTCAAGAAAAAACTTTTTCGCAAAATATCAGATATGAAAACGAAAGAACATATTTCCTACCCCTACTCATGAGTTTTTTAGTCTCAACATAGATGACCTACCTTTAATCGAATCGAGAAGGAAATTAGTCGAAGTGTGCGCAGTTAACCCAAACATCCTTAACCGTTGAAAAAAACAAAACAAAAGAAGATTACTATTCCCCCTTATAATTAGTCAGGTTTAAAAGTGAAGGTTTAAAGTGGGAAACCTTACTTTACAAAAAGGTGTGGACAATATGAATTGATTAGTGAATAATAAGAAGTTTCTTAGCAAAAGAGATTGTCATGTAAAGATGGTAGGGCACAAGGATAATCTTCCGAAATGTGCTTTTGCTTTTGTGATCTTTTGGAAAGTATTATCCTCTATGTGCTTGTCATTTTCCCATGTTTTCCAAACCTTTACTGTCAAGACAATTAAGGCATAATTATAGCTCATACAACAGACATAAAATAATTTATTTATATGGACATACAGTGAGTGTGTGTATGTGTGTGTGTGAGAGAGAGAGAGAGAGAGAGAGAGAGAGAGAGAGAGATGTATTAGTGATCATATGTTGTGTTACACATTGTTAACCCTATAACAGGACTAGCTGGGAACCACATACACATGATGAGAGAGAGAGAGGGAGAGAGTGATGCAATCAAGACTAGTCCTGGTCAAATCCAAATAATACAATATAAAAGGTCCTCTATTTTTTTTTTTAGATTTATTGAAGAAACAAAATTCTATAAAGTATTTTGGTGTTGTTAACACAAAAAAAAAAAACTGTTTGGCAAAAAACAAAACATGTTTAATTCCTGTTTTGCAAAAGTGGTCTATGTACATTTTGATTATATGAATATGAATACATTGTCACGTGGGTACATATGTATATCTATATAATAAAGTATATAATAAAGTAGTTTACAATTCAAATTTTAAAATATAAATAAAATGATTTTTACTATTCGCGGTTGAGATCGCTTTAAATTTTACTTTAAAGTTAATCTAACGATTAATATTATCACCATAAATTTAATAGGAAAAATAGACCTCTAAGGGTGTGTTTGAAGTGACTTTTTAAAAATACTTTTATAAATTATTTCTCATAAATATTTTAAAAAAAAAAATAGTGTTTGAAACTGCTTCACCACTACCTCTACTATCACTACCCCCATTGCCACCACCACCTCCACTATAGCCGTCGCCACCACCACCACCGCCGCCACTGCCACCGTCACCACCACCCCGCCGCCACCTCCATCGTCGCCACCACCATCGCCGCCGCTGTCACCACCCCCCCCTACCGCCACTGCCACCACCATCACCGTCACCCTCACTGCCGCCACCGCCACCACATTCATTATCACTCACCACAACCATTTTCGTCTCCTACCACTATCACTGTCACCCATCATCTCTCACCCCCACTTTAAATCGATGGTTAAATTCTTTTATCTCTTCTTTATGTTTGTGATTTAATTTTAGATATAAACATAAATATGTTTATAATTTTTTATTACTCTGTGTCTTCAGACACAGGTAATAACTAGTTACTATACATACTAATTAAGTTTAAAGGAAGGTATCAAACTCGGACAATGGAAAAAATAAACAAATAGCAACAGAAAATAAATAGTACTTCAAAATGAAAAAAAAAAAAAAAAAAAAGTAGTTAGAAAAATGATACCAAACGATAGTGGTTAACCATGAGCATTTTTTTGGATGTTAACTACGGCTCGAATTAATCCCAGCAAAGATAACAAACTTTTCTTTGTGATCAATACAATATACACATTGTTATCTTGAACAATATTATATTTTTAAGAATAACTTTTAGGTCAAAGGGGTTTGCTTTAACTTTGATATATTTAGTCATAAGATTCTGTTCCATATAAAGGCAGAAATTGATCTATGACTTAGTTTAATCCCTCTTGTTGGAGGAACATTTGATCGAGACAAGTATAAACTGATCTAAACACTCTTAATTGTTGAACAAAAAAAATATATGTTTAATTCCATCTAACTTTTTTGCATCTCTTATATTAACCGGAATTAATCATGAGATTTCAATCACAACAACAGTTTATTTGGACGGATAAACACTTACCACTGTTAATAATACATTAATGCAATTTCGGTTGAAGTGGTGAGGTTGTCAAATTCCCTTCATCCTATTCTAGTTTCTAACCGATATACTTTTCTTCTCGACCTTTCGCATTATATTCCAGTTCTCAACCATTATACTTTTCTTGTTGGCACCGAGCGACAGTACAACTACAGGGCTTTGCACCCAGTTATAACTAGGGCTGTCAACAGAACAAATTTAGACTAATCCGAACTCGAATTTGATTATCCTGACATATTTTATTTTTATGATCCATATTTCAATCCGTTAACAATCTGAAATTTGAATAACTTAACTTAATTATATCTAAATTTTAATTAAATTTCTTTAAATAACCACTTAATTTCTTTAACATTTATATAAAAATATATACATAAAAATAAGATAGCAGATTCATATTTGGTTTGAGATTATTAGTCAAATTCATATTCAACTAATTAGATTCGGATCAAATTCGATCCATTGACCTAATCACAGGACATTGGGTCCAATGACCATTGTAATCCGACTGTTTTACATGTGATGTTTTCATCTACGTCATGTCCAAATAATAGAGAAAAGATCGAATAGAAAACACAGTGAAAAACAAAAAGAAGCACTATATTGTCTCACTTCCACCGTAGAGACTGCCTTATACCAGTGAAGATAAGTCCTAATGATCGCCCTATCAAGCAAACCAGAAAGAAGGAGATGGCGTCGCTGATTTTAGCGCAAACAGTTCTTACCAACGGCATTGTAATATCAGCCAATTCAAGTAAGAGACTAAAGTAATACCTCCTGCAACATGGAAAACATATTATAGATATATGAATGATTTTCAACCCAATTATCAGAGCTTTGCAAACGTGAAGAAGAAATATATAATGGATGAACAGGCATCTGTAAAAGTATCTAAAAATAGATGTAGGTACTGAATTCTCCATTTGTGTTCATGAGAATTTCGATTCATGTATATGCAGCTTTTTAGTTTTTATTTTTTTTTTCCCTTTTCTATCTTTGATAAGTAGTTAAGCACCAAACAAATCCAAATGCAACCATATTGGTACTTGGACGCAACATACGTTTTCTTCACTTTTTTTTAATACTTAAATGTGGTACTTGTTGATATTCAAAACCATGCAGGTGGTTGATAGTGGAGCAAACGTCGGATAAAACATAGATAGGCATGCCTTATCATCAGGAGGTAGAAGGGGGAAGGGTGGTTCACAGGGTCGATCCCACCTCTTATGGAGAGGAGGAGCACCAGGGATGATAAGGGATAACTAATTCTACAGCAGAAAGGAATAGGAAAAATCATTCTACATTACTGTGATGGTTGGTGCTTCCTGTAGGGATGCAAAGCCAAAGGCCTTTATCCCTTTCTCTTCCATCAAATAACTCCCCTCAAATTTATCATGGAACATCAACTTCCTGGTAAACGAAAACTCTCAATCTTGTTTTTCATCCTAAACTGTTCCAAGTCTTAAAATAGTCAGTTGCTCCTGCTGTTGCATAAAATTTTTCCTCAGTTTAATTTGAAGCATCCTTTGCATTCACGCAAGAGCATGTCTCCCCTACAGCAACCTATTCCAACTTACGGTCACCATTCAGCCTAACTCATGCAATTGATAACCACTAGATGTTCAAGACCAGGGGAATATCCCAGCCAAATGAAGCACATAACCATCGGCATATCTCCTTCAAGGATGTCAGGTGACAGCAGGGCATCCAATTAAAGTTAGTATTCATGTGGTATGCTAGAAGCCTACAAGTACAGAAGATATGTGGAGCAAAGATATAGAACATACCACCCAGACAAGGCCCTTAGTTCATTGGTCCGCTTTACAGGTATTGAGATGTAGCTGACCACAGCGTAACGCAGCGGAGATAATAAAGGTCCATATCTCCTCAGGCTAAGCTTCTTCCACCAACCGATTTTTCCAGCCTCACTTTTGGAAGGTTGCTCAATGAGTTGGATCTGAAGTGTGCATAGGTCAAATCGATCCTCATACATTGATACAACTGCCTCTATGTTCTGATGCAACCACTGGTTCAACACCACCTGTTAAAAAAAGCATAATTTCATCTCGGTAAGAATTAAGAAAGATACACAATCCCAATACTCGTGGCTACATAGTTATATGCATAAGACAATCAGACTGCAGGGATGACAAAAGTTGGACCTCATTTCGTAATTTCTGAAGTGCTCGGGTCGACAAGGTACACAAACTCGAACCAATGTTGTTTATTTCATTCGACATGCTACCATCAACAGAAATAAGCTCCAAATACATGCTTGCAATCCCATCTGCTAATTTAATCACCAAATCTTCTAATATGGATACCCCATGCATCGTAAACAAGCTATAGTCATAACAGCTATCGTTCCTGTTGTGACATATATGATGGCACATTAAACATTTCAAAAGACCAGGATGCAAAACATGAGTCTTTTGCTCCAACTGATAAAAATATCAGGATGCAATATACAATCAACTTTGAAACTTAATGGAAACAATTAGCATTTAAGATTGCCAGGGCCTCCATAGCAATGTTCTTAAAGAGTAAGATGAGCTCTTTTAATACACTTTGCAAGAACAAGTATGGAACAGTAAAAAAAACTCTAATTTATGTTGGATATCTAGAAGATTCTAGAGGTCAGGAACCCATATGTGTCATTAGGATAACTCTGCCACATGAGCATATAAGATATAGTAAATGACCATTACCAAGTAAATCAAGCATATCGGAAAGGATGGACTAGGAACAGACTTGATCTTTGACATTCTTTGAACCAAGTGGGTGTGCAGACATTCAAACTAGCCACCCAGACTTTGTCAGTGTGAGTATTTTACAACTGCACTAGGCCACCCTATTTTCATCTATTTACCGCTTTGTACCTCCTTTCTTCTTCTTAATTATCCTACATTTTCCCTGCAAATTCATGAGGAGACACGAATGTTAAATGCCACTTCAACCGTCAACTGATTAGTTAACATTTCCACTGGTCCATTCATTTCAACAAGCAGAAAACTCGTAGTTCAGTTAATTTTCAGTTCGGTTAACTCGTAGCTCTATTTCTTGCAACTCTTTTTTTGAATCCTTGATTGATAAACCAACTCTTCCATTCTTTGAACCCTCAGCTTTAGTTTGGAAGAGTATGACACCTTTGAAAGTACAAGTGTTTGCATGGTTGATTGCTCATAAGAAACTTAATACTCTAATGAAATGATCCAAAAACGAAGGCCTTTTCATTCTCATCAACCACAATGGTGTATTCTTTGTAAGAAGAATGTTGAGACCATGGATCATTTGTTTCTTCATTGCTCTTTGTCTCAAAGTTGTGAACCGTCTTTTGGGCATTTTCGAGATCCCATGGGAGGTATCAAGAAGTTGTGAATAGTTTGAGTTTGAATTTTGAAGGCTTTGGTTCAGGTCATAAGGCCGAAATCCTTTGGAAATGTGCAGTATTGGTCGAGTTTCTGAACTGGTCAGAACCAAGGACCAGGTGAAATAGTGAAAACAAACAGAGGAGTTATAAGTATTTTGTCAAGTTGAATTGTCAGCCAAACCAATTTGAACCAACATCATAATTTCATCATATTACGACTTCTGATTCTGCATGTAAACATTCACCTAGGCTTATGCAATGACCCTTCTGCAGCTCAGAGTGACTTTCATATTTACCAGTTGTTCAGTACCTCAATAATCTGTGGTAATAAACCTACCAACGGATTCTTTCCACATATTTTGTAAAAAACAAGTCTCTTTTGACAATCTAATGGGGTTAAATTCCAGCAAGTGTTCAAAATTTTGGAATATTTTACGACGCAAAGCTAAGACATGGGACATGTTACAGTGGAAGGAGGTACTCAAAACCATTTTTCTAGTTTTCATCTATATGCACGAACACGTGTAAATCAAGGATTTACTTTTCCTTTGCCACAAGGACGTACTTCCAACTATTACTTATAAGCTCTGCCGATACCTGAAGATCTTATCTTTCACAGTTCTATTTCCAATACTTCATTCATTCCCTTTCTAGTGGAGTATTGCAGCCACGCAAAATGGTGCACTTATATAGCATACTTGGTTGCAACTACAAACTGCAACCCATAAAGTAATAGTGAGTGAAGATTGAACAAATAATTGAAGGATATAGAAGCAAACCATTTCAAACAAATCTTGTTCACAAATGAGAAAGCATAGATGTATAGTTGATCAACTGAGGCAAAAATCATAACTGATTACCTGAGAGAACCAAATCTAAGAACGCTAATTAATGCAGCATAAAGGTCCTCCTTGCCCGACTTTCTAATGTTTTGCAGAATGGTATAATATCCATTTAATTTCTCATCCATCGAAGAAAGAAGTGCCTGTTAATGGGAAAGAGATTACATCTCAACATAGAAGTAGCATTAGCATCTTCTTTGTATAATATAAGTAGCTAGTAGCAGCAATATTTTGCATGTAATATACCAATTGTTTCAAGGTACCTTGTCAGGCTTTCTGTTTTTCAAGAAAAGCTCCTCTTCCAGCCAAGCCATGCACACAGGTTGACAAGACTTCAGAATAATTTCAGAGAAAACCATCAACCAATCGTCTGTGCTTACAGGTGCACAGTTTTCGGAGATACCATCCACCTGAAAAACCATATATTTTTGCCTTCTATTAATGTGTCAAAATGTTGGAATGGTATACTGACTCAGTAAAGAAATAAGAAAAGAACAAATTTTCTGTTCAAATTAGGTGTTGACCATGTGATACTATACTTACAATTAGACAACAAAATATATTTCCACAAAAGCAAAACCCGTTGAACTAGACCAAAATACATCATAAAATGCATCAATAATCCATTAAACCAGGAAAGGAGGACATATAAGCCTGTCTTAGGTTCCCATTTTTAATCCATCATGAAATATGATGCACTAAGGAAATATTTTCATAGTGTTCAAACATAATAGAGCACATGCATTGTAACCATAGCATTAGGAGACAATAGAGACAGTGCCTGCCTCTTTCTTGAGCCACTGAAAAGAAGCCCACAGCAACCGAAACCTAGGACCCTCCGCAACAGCATATAAACTTAAAGGTATCTTTGCCTGGTGCTGTTCAACTTCAGTAGCTTTGTTTACCAAATAACCCTTATGTTGAACAGCACTAATAGAATCCACAAGTTTGCCTTTCACCACATCCCAGATCAACTCGAGATTCGTTCTCTCATCACTCTTCAAATCACTGCCATTGGAGAATAATATCAAAGGCAAAACAGTCTAATAACACTCATACAAAAGTCAAATAGAATATTGCACATATTTTCATTGAGCTAAGAGATTATTTAAATTTCAATTTTTTTTTCAAGTTTTGCCTTGCAACCTTTCTTACCTACCCAAAAAGGATGCGTCTTCGGGGACCATATAATCATTGGAAATGCTCTTTGGAGATTTCAAATGAGAATTCTCGACGGGTATTACTCCAGCTATATATGTAAGGAACATACTTGCCATTAGAAGCACTTGATCAACAACAGGAACCCAGTCAGAAGAAGTTGCACCATCAAGGTCTATCAAAGTCCCTGTGCAATTACAACTAAGGATACTCTCCTTGTGAGAAGGACTTAAACTTATACTTGTGACACGAAGAGCAGCAATCTTGTGGATTTTCAATGGTGATAGCAAGGTAGCTATACAATCTCCAGAGTAACACTTCCTAAGAACATAAACACAATAAATTTTATTCTAGTACGATAAATGTTCAATATTTTAGCGGGTATGTGACAACTAACTCCACCATAGGAGTGGCAATAAACCAGTGTCAGTAACACAGAAAGTAAACTAAATAGTTATTGAGGAAAAAAATACTGCAAACTCTACAGCTCGCAAAAAGGAAAAGTACAAACTCTACAGCCCTCACAATATACTTCTCATAGATTAACTTCCCATCATTTTTATCTATATATACTAGTAGTACCTTGGCATGAAAAATTTTTAATTTACTATTTTGCCCTTATAAAAAACTATAAAGTTTAACATACGCTTTTGTATTTAAATATTCAAATTACCGTTATATCCCTGTGTATTTAAATAACAAACTAATCTATAATATATAATATAAATCTCTCTATCTTTGCAAAACTTTTGAATGACCATGTTATGCTTAACATGATACATAAAACAACATTATTCTTTTTTCCCAGAATCCTAATATTAATACGTGGACAACTCCATTAATACAATATCATCCCCAATGCCCAAAAACATATATATATATATTTATCTTATCTCTACATTCACAATCAAAATAATTTGATTAAAAATTAATGATGCACAAAGTAAAAATAAGAAAGACAAAAAGAAAAAAAAATTGAGAAAAGAAAAATCTGTAACTCTCAGTAATGAATCATTGGCTGTTTATAGTTATGAAAAAAATACAAATAATTTAAATATGATAAATACGAGATAATATCTAGTGTAACTACATAATTAAATTTTTTTTATATATTTTATCAAATGTTTCGACAAAAATTTTGATATGCACCGTCGTGCATTGGTAGAATATCACAAAAAGAACAAACCCGTGTTTTAGTAGTTCAGTCCAAGGTACCAGGTCAGAAAGTACTATACAAACTAAATGAACAACGGAATTGTATTTAATGATTACATAAGCCGTATAGAATGGACATTCTTCAACATGACCAATATGTCATAACAAAGCAATCTAACCTCTGCAATTCAGTGTTAAACTTTGCTGGCACACGGATTTTAATACAATTCAGCGGTGGATGCAGCTTGATGTGTGAACGAACAGCAACATATTCCGCCATTCATAAATCCCCTGCCCTTAGATCAACACATTATGCTGCTCGCAAACAAAACAATAACATGTCCAGCTACCAAATCAAATACTGCAGAAAGATCAACCAATAAAGATTCAAATTAGAAGCCCCCAAAAAAGTCTCAAAAAATGCACAGAGTTATTCAAGCTAGGATTCAACATCGATACAATATTGCGAGTGCGAGACTATAATTAAAGTCCAAGACAAAATGTACTAACCAGTAGAGTAATGAAACCCTAGATACGATGCAGCGAATGCGAACACTATAAACCGTGAGGATTAGGGTTTGGAGAAAAAAAAAACCGAGTGATAATGGATAGCAATTTGTCAGCAAGCGGTGGTGATGAATGGTAGTGAGGTCTGAGGATTGGGTATGTGCGAACCTGGTTTTTCACATCAAAATAGTCCCCTCTCTCTCTCTCGTACCAAAGAATGTAACGGCCGAATAAGTGGGGGCACAGCACAAATCCAAACAGAGAGGGGTCTCTCTTGTCGCTGTTTTTGGGCCACTCTAGGCCCAAATAAGAAGATTCGACGTACAGACATGGATAAGCAATTATGCACCGGACGGAGCAGAAGTATTGCAACTCAAACTCGATCCGATCCATCCACCCCACAACCGCCTTTGATTTTTCATGTTTTTTGTAAATAATCGTTTTTTTTAAACACAAAAGTATTTGACTGAGACTTATCTTCTGTTAATTTTTAACAGATAAAATTTAAATTTTAAATAATGATATTTTATTTAATAAAACAATATTATTTTGAATTGAAACGAGGCTATTTTAATTGATAATACTTGGAGTTAGACTCAAAGTGTTTGAACTCGATCCGACCCACCTACCCACAAGGCTTTTATATATATATATATATATATATATATATATATATATATATATATATATATTTATTTTCTTTTGGTCATTAGCACTTTTATATAAGGGTGCAACTCGGGTGGGTTAGACTGGTTAGATAGTCAACCTTAATTCAACCCTAAGTATATAATTTTGAACTCTAACTTTAACCTGAATCATACCTCGGGTTGAGGGGCTCAACCCGAGCACTGTCCGAGTTTAATTCTGGTCGGCTCGGGTTGAATTCAGGTTAATGATTTCAGGCTGATTTTGGTTTATTTTACGAGTTTAATTTGACTTGAGTTCAAGTTGAGCCCAAAATAAATTTATTGTTCTAAACCTGATGCATATATTATATAATATTCATTTAAATTAATAACCAATAATATTAATCAAGTTTTTAACATAAAAATCATAATATTAAGAACTCAATGTTTGAGATAATTCAACAATAATCATATAGAACATAAACAAACACAACAAGAATTTTTGCACAAATATAGACTTGAGATTAATCTTAAAATAAAATTGTATTTATATAATATTAATTCGAGTTGAGCTCGATTTTAATATTCGGGATTCAACTTGTAAATTCGATGGCTCAACCCAAGGTCCCGTCTAACTTTAAATTCGGGTTGAAAAATTTTGACCCGAGTCCAATCAAAATATTAAAAATTATAGCCAAAACTCTAATTTTTTCGGATAAGACTCGAGTTAAAATCGGGTTAATTCGCTAAAGTTGCACCCTACTTTTTATATCATTTTTTACATTTTCTCTTCTCCTTTTGGGCCTGCTATCGTCCTCTGAAACCCTAATATCAGTCCCGTTCTAAACCCTCTCTCGCTCTATCTCCCTCTCCCCCCCTCCCCCCACCTTCTGAGCCGACCTCTGCTTTTCACAGTAAGAGCAAAAAATGGTGAAGAGAAGTAAAAGTATGCTACCCTAGTCTTCTCTTCATGCGTATATGTGCGTGTGTGCTTGTGCAGGAATGTGATTTTTTGTTGTGTAGTTCGATTGATTTTTTTGATATAATTGCAGAGAGTAAGAGCAAGAGAGTATCGTTGAAGCAGAAGTACAAGGTCATACGGAAGGTGAAGGAGCACCATAAAAAGAAGGCGAAAGACGCCAAGAAGCGGGGCTTGAACCGCAAGCCCAAGGTCGAGAAGGACCCTGGTATTCCCAATGACTGGCCCTTCAAGGAACAAGAGCTTAAGGCTCTCGAAGCTCGTCGAGCTAAGGCTCTCGAGGAATTGGAGGCAAAAAAAGCCGCTCGCAAAGAGAGGGTATTGTATTCATTTGATTGACGTGGGTGTGTTAATATGTAGCATGCATATATGTTGATGGGTATACAATGCTTTGACGATTGTTGCTTAAAGCACAAGGGGACTTGATTGTTTTCTATGTTTCTCGTTGTATTTACGTTTGACGAAGATTTCATGGAGACTCAGAGTGATTTGATTTGCTGAATGGCTTGTTGTCATGTTTGGTGCTCAGGATATTTGTTATCCATGTTTTTGGGGTAACTCTGTCTGGGTTGGGTAAATTGCTATTAGTTTTGGAGTTTATGTTTATCTTAACATCCATTTGTTTTGGCTGGAGAGTGTTCTATTGTGTAATACTTGTCTGTCAAAGCACTTTGTTGAATTCTAGGTAAGCATAATGTTCTAATTTCCTGGTTGATGGGTTTGTTGCTGTCTTGGGTTTCACCCCTTGCCTCATCTAAACAAAGACCTTTCCTATTTTGTTATTTCCCTGTGTTGCTTTGTCATTTTGTGCCTTCAGCTGTTGACTGAAAGTGATTTTGCTTACTTCTTCAGGCTCAAAAGAGAAAGTTGGGATTAACAGAGGACGGTGACATCTCGAATTTGGCTGACACCGTTTCTGTGAAAGAACAGAAATTTGGTGAGAGAAGAGTTAATAAGGATTCTACTGGAATCCCTAAGAGTAGGGGTAAGTTATCAGTTATTGTCTTTGAAATATTCATCATGGATGGAAGATAGTGTTTATATGTTGCCTTTTCTTCCAGTTTTCTTTGATTTTCTGACAGTTTGTAGTTTAAGTACAGATAACTCGGACAGGGCTTTCTACAAAGAGTTGGTGAAAGTCACTGAAGCATCAGATGTCGTGTTGGAAGTGCTTGATGCTCGAGATCCTCTTGGTACCCGATGTGTTGATATGGAAAAAATGGTGATGAAAGCCGGTCCTGATAAGCATCTTGTGTTGCTCCTCAACAAGATCGGTAATACTTCCTCCACCCCCTTACTCATCCCCCCCTTCTCTGGATTTTGTTTTGGTGGGATTTTGATTACCTATAAAATTGGACATTATGTTTCTAAAGGGTATTCCCAATTTAAAAATGTAGTTATAAACCTTATAAAACAACAACAATTACCTAATCACATTGTTGCTTTAATGCTGTAAATCACATGTTTAATGTATGACATATATTTGAGTGTTGCTTTTGCAGATTATTAACAGAGTTCAAACCAGGTTTATGACAAATAGATCATATTTTGAACTTTATTTAATGATACCACAGAATATGAGACAATGGATGTTGAGGAAATGCTTGTAGCATTTTTACTTGCATCGTCAATTACTACTACTAATTGGCACTTGCATTTTCAGACCTTGTCCCTCGGGAAGCTGCTGAAAAGTGGCTCACGTATCTTAGGGAGGAATTACCAACAATTGCATTCAAGTGCAGCACCCAAGAGCAGAAGTCAAACCTGGGGTGGAAATCTGCCTCAAAGGCTGCAAAACCAAGCAATCTTCTGCAAACTAGCGATTGCCTTGGAGCTGAAACTCTGATTAAATTACTGAAGAATTACTCAAGAAGCCATGATGTAAGCTGATAATTTATTTCAAACAGCTCTATAACATTCTTATTCTGCCAGTAATTGAGTGAAATGTAAAACTTCTGTCATGAAGTTTGTTCTTTGTTTTTCCAGTGAACTTCCATTCTAATTATGCTCCAAGGTCATCTCACATAATTGATGCATTCAATGTGTGTGTTTGTTGTTGTGTGAATATAATTGTTCTAGTGTAAGTTTGAGATGCACATGGACAAATATAGAGTGATGCTATGGTAGAAAGGTCCACTCTTTTATTGAGAAAATAACATTGTTATTGTACCATTATGAAAGCATTTTGGGTCTGTATTTGGAATTAGTGTTTATGCTACTGAAATTGTGCTATGCATAGTGGATTTACTGTTATCTGTTATCACTTATCAGTATTTGTACATCGTACTTTTCTCAG